GGGGCTTTCCAGAGCCCGGAGGTTTCCCCGGGACCGGCTGGCTTAAAACTAACTGTAAAGTTTCTTTCCATATTTTTAACGCATCTGTGTGTTTACCTGTGTTGTTGGGTTTTGGGTGCCAGGGTAATATGCCGTGAGTAATACAGTTTACGTGAAAAATTCCCACCACCCAGTTTTAACCAAACAGGGAAAATATTTTTCATTTCAGGCTCTGGAGATACAGCCAGAATTTTTCGTTCACATGGCAGCAGCAAACTCTACTCCACCTGGCTCTTTGGATCTAAACCAGCCTGGGTTTGCGAAGGAGATCCTGGGAACTAAGCTGGAGGTCAAATATCTCTGCTCCGATTGCAAGAACATATTGAGGAGGCCCTTTCAAGCTCAGTGCGGACATCGCTACTGTTCCTATTGTCTGAAGAAAATCATAAGGTAATGTTTGTGGCTTCAGTCTGAAGACGAAGTGCTTGAAAAAGTGTTTTCAAGCAAAAAAGGCGAGAAAAGTCTCATTTTCAGGGCCTTCTCAGCAAGGGAGCTGTGTTTAATTGTTGAGGTTTGGCGTCAGGTCTTCTTTAAAGGAATATGCAATCTCTGACTCGCTTTTATTGTTCTGGGGGTTGCTTCAAAGTTCCCTTCTCCAGAGTCTCCTGCATTGTTTTTGCCATTCAGGTGGCAATCCATGTGGATCACCCATCTCCTTCAGTCTTCATCACAGCTACCGAAGGAACTTCCTCCTAAAATTCATTGCATGGTTGTCATGCCAAAATGTGAGAAATTGAAGCACCCACTGGCTTCCAGAAAATTTTCCTCGTGTTCTGTCTCACTCTTGCCTTTAAGTGAGGGAAGTTGAATAGAGCGGTTAATCGGGAGAAGAAAAAAAGTTAGAATGAGAAATGGGCATCAAAACTACAGATGAGCAAAGGCTCAATGCGTTGTTTTAAAAATAAGAAAATGCTTTAATACCAGAAATGCTTTTAGAACCAGAAATCCTTTTTTCATTAAATCACGTCAGTCGCTTTTTGTTGTGTTTGATGATTATTTTTCTGTCTGCTAGTGCTGGACCTCAAAAATGTGCCAGCTGTATTCAGGAAGGAATATATGAAGAAGGAATTTCTATTTTGGAATCAAACTCGGTAAGTGAAAATGCATTTTAAAAAATAAAGAAACTGACTGATGTCATTAATACCACTTGCAGTTTTTGTTTACAAGTTCTGAGAATCCCTTTTTCCTAGGAAGGGTTCTGTTCAGTAGTGAGAGATGATTAATGTGGTGGACTCCTCAGCTTCTAAAATCCAGGTTATGTTAATATAGCTGTGGCCTACTTAAATGTTGTAATAACGATTTGTTTGCCATTAACACACCTCTGAAGATGTGATGTGGCAACTGGCCTGGGAGGAGTCTTAATAAAGAATTAAGAGATGGGAGTAAAACTGCAACTCCTCAGTAATTTTTGTGGTTTGCTTGTTTTTTTCCATTTTAGGCTTTCCCAGACAACGCAGCTCGTCGGGAGGTGGAAAGTTTGCCTGCTGTGTGTATTAACAGTGGCTGCACTTGGAAGGGGACCATTAAAGAATACGAGGTAAAGATGAAAGCAAGGCTTTCCATGTCTGCCGCCTCTTTCTTTCCTCTGTGTTTGGGGAAGGCTCAGGTGGTTTTCCTCGTCTGCTGACACTGGCAGTGGTGGTGGGAGCTTTCACCTCCGGGGACTTTACTGTAAGCTGGAGAGATTTCTTGGCTTGAGCTAGGTTTGTCTGCCCTGCTGAGGGCACAGGCTGAACTGAAACAATTTCACATTTCCTTGTGATTGCAAGCACCAAGCACGTCCCTTCTGTGGTGGGAACTACCCGCTCTCCCTCCAACTCCTTTCCACTATAAAAACCAAGCAAACTGTCAAGAAACTTTGCTGTGCCATGAACTTGTTGTGAAGTTTTCTGTGTTATGTGAACCTAAAATCTTCTTCAGACCCATGAGCTTGGGGAAAGCAGCCTGGCTGTGATACTATTTCCAGCCAGCTGCCCCCATAGCTGTCAGGGCAGCGGGACTGCGTGCTACTCTCTGCCTGGCCACCCGTTGCTCCGAGCTCTTCTGGGCCATGGGTCTGCTGGACAGAATGGTTTTCTCAGCCCTGCTCTTCCTGAGAAGCCCATCAGCTCTTTAACCCAGGCCTTCTTTTCGTGGCACTGGGCATTTGGTCTTTAGCATGTACACAGCTAACATGGCTCATGAGAAATGTGTTCTTGCTGAGGCTGGCAGTGGGCCACATGCTTCCCTGTGCTTTCCAACAAATCAACTGTGCTGTGGTGATTTGCATCATTAAAATGCATTGGCAGTTGGTAGTGAACGTATATTCACCTGTGAAGCTTTGGTGCTCTTGGAGGACAGCTTTGTCATCCCTCTTGGAATGGAAAAGCCACCATGTGGGGGGCCTGAGATAAGAGCAATACATTTTATTTCCCTCTAACACTTGGTGAAGATTGTAGCCCTGTGGTTCGTGGAGCTTTGGTAGTGACTGAGAAGTGTGTCGGAAAAAGGTTTAACCTCGGTCTGTCTAGGCTACCGTTGGGATTCTGTTTGCAATGCCACTGCAAGGTGGCAGGAAGAAACAGCAGCTGAGGATCATGCCTGAGTTTTCTGCATAGCTTGCTGAGCCTGTTAACAGAGAGATGCTTCTGCGCCCCTTCTTTGTTGTCCTGCTGTCTAGAACCTTCCACTTCCTTATGCCAAAAGTTCAGCCCAAAGGATGAGGGGATGGAGGGTGCTAAGTGGTTCTTCTGCTGTGAAACCCTCATTCATGGATCTGAAAGTGGCTCATGGTGTGGCTGTATGACTGAATAAATGTCAAGTTAAAAGCTTCACACTGGTGCAGCAGAGGGAGTTGCATTTCAGGGTACAGTGTGTATTACTGAGGTGCCAGGTTCACGCTGTGCTTTTGGTGCCTGCAGAATGTTTGACCCACACTTTAATTTCTGCTGGTGACCAGTGACTAGAAGTCTGATGCCCACTGCAGTGTTCAGAATGTTGATTATAGTATGTGAGCTCATCTCCATCAGACTAAACAAAATTATATTTGTCAGCAGCTTCCAGTGCTATTGATTGTGCTGTGACTGATGAGCTCTTCTGAACTTTTTCTCCTGGGTTTAAAAAAAAATTTAAGGAGTTTCTGCAGGGCTCAGCAAAAGTAATCAGCTGCCAAAGGTCTTCCCTGTGTGGTCTTAACAAGTGTTTGAAAGTGGGCTTGAGTCCAACCAGGACTTGTGGCTAGTGGTAGAAGTTCAAAAGGGCAATAAGTCTGTCTTCTTGCTAGGCTGCGTGTGTGTGTGCGTGATGCTGCAGGATCTTATGCACAACCGCTTAAGAGCGTCTGAACTGTTAAGGCTGGGCCTCTTTTCTACTCTCCACCTAGTCTTCAAAAGGTCCTGTTAACTCTGTTTTAGCAAAACACCTGTGTTTCATAGCGATGCAGCTCTGGAGTGCTCGGGCTGCAGGTCTGCAGCACTGATCTTGACCGTCACGGTTTTTGTTAGTCTTGGGGCAGTCTTGTGCGATGAGAGGGAGTGGGGATTTCGAGCAGTGCCAGTTGGTTCATCTCAGGGTTGAGCTTGTCTCTCCTGCCTACCTCAGGTATTCGGTCTAGTGGGGATAAGGGTGTTTTGTGCCCTCTCGGGAAAAAGCTGATTCTTTCCTGGGAACGGGTGGGAGGAGGGAAGGTCTGGCTTGTGTCATCTCTCCTCCCAGCTGCCTGCCAAAGAGCTGTGGCATTTAATCAGGCCTGGCTGTCCTCATGTGGTCGGAGCTTAGGAGATGGTATGTGTGGCTGAGATAGCCTGATGAAAGGAGGTGTGAAAGGACCATGTTAGCCCAGAGTCTCTCTTGGTACCATGGACTAACGCTAAACCCAGCCTTACGGGTAGGGTGGTTAGTTTAGTGCTGCAACGTAGAGTTTGCCTCGTGCACTACGGTTGCATCTGTAGCCAGCAATGTGTGTAACGTCCTGCAGCAGCTCAGTGCTCCCACTATGGAAAGTCCCTTGCTGTGCTATTTCCGACAGGACATGGAAAGTCCCTAAGAGCGAATTCATTGTTTGCTAATTTAAAAATCGTGTGTTCGTACAGAGAGATACTTACTCAGCTGCTATCCACTTACATATCAAGAGATACTGTCACTTCTGGTTTGCTAATCTTATCAGGGCACGAACAAGGGAAAAAGTGTTCTGCAGCTGAAAAGCTCTAGTTCTTAAAAAAAAAAAATCAATACAACTGGTTTCAGTTTTGCTTTCTGTTCAGGCAGACCAGATTTCAGACCAATTTCAGGTCTGAAAGGGACATACACAACTGAAAGAGTACAGTCTGCTTGGACACGACTTGCACTTCTGCTTAAAGCTGTGCTTAGAACATGTCTGGGTTTATAAATGCATTTTTCTGACTTTGTAAATATTGTAAATATTTAGTGGTGTTTGGATAAAGCACTTTGTGGTGGGGCTGCAGGGTTTTTCCTTTTAATCGGCAACCTCTTTTCACTTATAGATTTCCTGATGAATCTGCCTGAATGTACACACAGAAAAGCAGGTTGTGGGCAGGAGCCTTTAGATTCAGGTGGAAAATCTGAGGAGGGTTGCAGAAACTAAAACTAGCCTGTTAGAGCAAAAGGGAAGACCAAGAAAACATGCTCGTGTGATATCCAGGTAGAGGGAGTTTGTGGTTTCTCAGCCCTGGAACATTTCTTTTCTCGCCTTGCAGTACCTCCAGTTGTCTACATCTCTCTTCTGTTTTCTAAACATATCTTCAGTTCTCATGTATCTTTTATTTATGCTTTTCCTACCACCAGCTCCCTTTCTTTGCCCCCCATCAGGACAGGGATGGGAGGAGGGGGCTGCAGAGGGGTGTTAACATGGTCAGCCTTGGTGCTTCCATTTGTTACCCAGACAGAGGTTTTAACTATGCCCTGGTCATCTCAGGAGATAGAGAATTATTTGAGATGTAAGGAAATTACATTGTCTAAGTTTTGGAAGGAGAACTAAGTTTTAAGCTTAATCCTGACAGCGGTATTTAAGCTAAATTGGGAAGGGTGGTTTCTAGGAAAACAGATGGGCTCAGCTGATGAGGATGGGTGACTGTCATCTGTGGTGATAACCCATCCTAACCTGAACTGGAGGGGATGGGTTTTCCTTGTGGTCAGTTGACACCGTGGTTTTGAAGAGTTCACTTCAATTGAAGCCTGGAAGGCTGTGGAAGATGCAAAACTCAGAACTTAAGTGATACTACTCCAAAGCCCGTGGTGTTGGAAAGTATGTCTGCATCTCCTTCTGGGCTACATGGCTTCCTGGGGCCTGGAGGTGACTGGGCGGTCCCTTCTTGCCCAGCATTCCTACTGGGAGATGCTGGAGAAGCACTGCTACACCTCATGTAGAGAAAACTGCCTCTCATTAAAAATGCTGCTGGGTGCCCTGAGCTGGGGGAACGGCCCGCTTCATGATGCTTCACCGTTTCATGCCCACCCTACTTTCCGTCTGCATCTCAGGAGTGCCCTGACAGTTTTTGGTGGCGATTTTCAGCTTAGGCTGAAAGCTTCAGCTTCAGGCTTTTATACATTGCTTAGAACAGAGCTGCTGGTCTTTGAAGCCACTTCTTCTGGCTCCTGTTGCCTCCAAAGGGTAGTTCTGAGTGTTTTATAGTGGTGTTGTCTGCATGGCATTACAGCATTTTAAGGGCTGTGGCAAGCACACTTGATGATGCTGTAGCAGGACAACCAGTCTTCCTTTTAAAATCAGGTACAGCATTTAT